CTTTCTTGAAAATACGATATTCAAAAATATAGAAATAACAAATTCGCATTTTGTTTAGCAAATGGAATATTTTGTATATATTTATGATTCAATTTTCATTTCGTAACGACGGCTCGATACTTATTTTATTTCACATTCAAAACATGTAATGCACAAAAAGAAAACAATCCAACGAAAAAGAAACAGTTCGAGAATTATAAATGATACAAAAACCTAAATTACTTCGTGTTAAAGAGACTTAGACACAAAGATACACAAGAAAAAAGATCAAATACAATGAATATAAAAATACATAAAAAAATCAATTACGATGAACATAAAAGTACACAAAAAAGATCAAATAGAGTCGGCATTCTAATTTTGCCGGAAGAAAACATGTTTAATAATTTCTTTATAACTCAAACTATATGTATCGTACATAAATAATTTTTGTTTCCGCAATAGTGCAAACATTTATCTATCAAATAATATAAAATTTATTAAAAAAACAACTAATCAAACGTTTAAGAGAAACGTGAAATGAAGAAGTGCTAAAAAATGACCGGCTTTTAGTGTATTCCTATTTATGCCAGCCCACGTAATTTTTTGCCTAATACTGCCGTTTATAATATAGAAAATTGTATATTTATTTAAGAAAAAGTTCAATTCCTATATGAAAAAAAATATATCATTTAATTTGTCTCAAAGCGAGTGACAAACTGATATATTTTAGAAAAAGTTCAATTTTATTTCAATTTTTTTGTTTTCTAAAGAGAAAAAAATGCTAGAAATTTTTTTCCTGTTCTGATATGTACCGGGTCATATAATCTTTGTTCGTTATTGTGCCGCATTCATAGAAAATACATAGACATATTAAACATCAACTTACGAATATTGACTCAACTTAATCCAGTTAATATAGTTCTTATATTATTTAAAATCTTTATTCAATAGCTATACTCTCTTATAAGGAAAACTTAAACAAACAAAGTTAACTCTTTTTTTGTTACATACATATTTTAATATATCTTAGTAAAAATAACTGTATTACTATTTCATGATAGATAAGCATAAACGTAAATAAAAAAATTGATACAGTATAGAAATTTCAAGATACATATTCATCAAGTAATATTATTAGATACAAAATGTAGTTAAGGTTTTTTATATGAAATATTTATTAAACAATTGAATCATGATCATCAGATACTCGTTGAGTTTCTACAATAACAAAGTCGAATTGGTGTAGAGTTTCAGTCTTATAATCCATAACATGATCATCGTTTTCCTGATAGCTGTTGATACCAATAATGCTTATTTTTTTCTCAATTTTTTGAACGTTTAGAGTTTTTGTTTGTTCATTTTATTTTGCTGTTCGATGCTAGTTTCTTTTTTACTTCGCTTGTTTTTCCTGAAGCATCTTAAGGAAATCTTCATCCGTGATACTGACATCTGTATTATTTTCCAATCTGCTAGTGTGGATGCGAAATGAAAATAATATCCACACACTCAAATTGAACTACGATAGCACGAGGCTGTAAGTCCGAGAGTCTCATCTAAAACTACTGTATATATTGTAATGATTTTCTCGAGCAAATAAATTCAGATTTATAGTTCTTCTCTTGAAAACGCAAGGTATAGGTATCAGGCCTATCAATCACCATAAAAAACAATTTTCGCACAGCTCCTTTTTAGTTATTTGCATGTCCACATAAATACGTCGATCACTGGTGTCTTGATATCTCTCTTGTCAATCGATATTGCTCGAAGTGAGGCACGACGTATACGGATAACCTAGTAAACAATCCGGTCCTTTTTACAAGTCGCCGATAAAAAAATAGAAGCCAGTATTTTAAAACATCATTAGTCGCAGATGCGCATATTCACACCGATATCCGTTCTTTCATTTTAGAATGAGTGTGAAGACCGTTTCGCGGAAAAATAGAAACATGTGCGTTGTAATCATTTTCGTTATTATCGTCATTCCGAGAAAAAGGCAATATTTACGCAAAATATATTATCTATATAAGCGATGATGGCGATTTCGTTTAATATCATACACTAAAAGAAGGTGTTTTTTTCTTTATTCGACATGCTACAAGTGAGCATTATTTTTGTGACCATTATTTATGGCACTCTATCCCTTGGTAAGTTTTTTCAAAGTTATTGGTGTGTTTCAAATCTTAGTTATACATTGTAGCAGGTCCAGTGCCATGGTATAGGTATACAAACAATGTGGGATGGCGATATTTTACTACAAATGCTAATGAAATTGGAACGATCACGCCGGGTGCTACGGGACATAATGGTTTGAAATTCGAAAAAATCGAATGTGAAGTATATGATCGAGCAGATGCGAACAGACCTTCAAATACGGTTCCATTATATCAATATAAGCACAAAGACGAATTGAGATATTTTTACACTACACGATGGCAAGATGTCGGTACTTACGTGACTGGAGTTCTCATGGGATCGTGGCGTTCTGAGGGCATAGCCGCATATGTCTACTCATCTAGCTTTGCGAATACTATTCCTTTATATCAATATAATTCGACCGCAGGTTATGTGTATTACTCAATGAACGCATGTGAGATTGGGTCTGTAGTTCCTGGCTTGCTCGGAAGATTCGGCTATACATATGACAAAGTAGCCGCATACGTTCTCCCAAGATCTGGTTTCTTACCAGGTCCACTAGTCTGTCACTAATCAAAAACTGAAGTGCTTTTCACTTATTTCATCCTTAATTCTACCAAAATGACAACACTGAAATAAAGATGATTTTTCAGCATCTTAGGTCGATATTCTGATTGCTCTTCTTGGATAACAAGAGCCAGGGAAAAGGACAGCTGGATTTTTATGATTTGAAATCACGTCTGAAAATCATGAATTCGTGTTTCAAATCTGCAAAACAGGCTTAAACTGACCGTGGGCGTGGGTGTGGATATGAGGAATGGGTAAGGGGGAGAGTGTAAGAAGGGAGAGTGTGGGTGAGGATGTAGAATTAAAAGAATACCCCCACCCACACCCACACCCACACCCAATACAATGAGATATGAAAGATCACTACTAGTACCAAAGAAATCAAAGCCAATATTTGTCGAAAGGCCAGCTGTATAAGCAGTATTTAAGATCATAAATGGTAAATATAGAACAAAGTAGAGAAACGATATTGATACCAATTGTATTGTCATTTTTTTTGTATTTTTTCCATTGAAATCTTTGACCAACTTGACATTTTTTGTGCCATACACGGATAATCAAAGCTATACTCAATATAATAGTAATAAATGTCGGAACAATATAATCTACTATAGCATCCAATGTACCAACAAATGCATTGTTAAATAGACAAAAACCATGAGCACATCGTTGTCTGTTATAATTGAATGGAATATCACATGGCATCACAAAAAATACAAATTAATAAGATATAAATGGATAAATACTAAAGATAATCAAAGGTAAATAATGAAGGAGAAAACGTTTCATTGATGTTGCCATAAAATTTTGATGAAAAATAAGAATATGTCGTTCAATTGCTGCCCAACTCATCAATAGTAGTATTGTCACATATCCAGCATAATCAACATAGATCCATATTAGACAAAACATAGGTGTTGATGACAATACTATACTAGTGTGAGAATAATAAATAAACGAAATTATATCCGTTAATTCATAAAATAAAGTAAAGAAAAGAATAATAATAAAGACATGATCATGAAGAGCTTTACGGAGTGTACCATCGATAAGAAAATAGTAAAGACAGAAAATACAAAATATAATCGACGGAATTAGAAAGATTAAATAGAGCCAAAAAGTAACAATAGCAGGAAGTGACATATTTGAATATGATTGTTATTCTAATATTAATTACTAGGAATAAAAACTAGAATTAACACTTACTACCGGTTTATTAATGTTTTAATAAATCAAAATTTAGACAAATCTAGTCATCTTCTACTCTCTTATCTTCATTTTTCAAGTTGATGCAAATAACAAAATCTACCTACGACATAATAAAGATAGTCGCTTTAATTAATGTTTCAGATTGATACTGTCTATCAAAAAAAGACTTTTATCTTGCACCTTGTCAAGCATTATAATGACTTTAATGTTTGATATTTTTGAATACTTCCTATGTATGTTACTTCAGGTAACACAATAGAATTTCATTTAAAGAAAAATCTTCGAAGTTATTTAGTTAGAATACAATAATTTATGCAGATAGAGGAATTTACGAAAATGTAAAAGATAATCTTTTTTCATAATAAAAATTTCTACTTAATATTTGAAATGATAATACAAAAGTACTCATTATATCATTTTTTGAATCTATATTTACATCTATTACGTGTCGTCTTGTTAATTGAACGTAAAAAGCAGATAAAAACTGTTTGATGTTAGATGCAATTAGATTAAAAATAAATGACACGTTTTTCTCATTTATTTTATCTTATAAGATCTGTCAAGAACATTATAATTATATTTATAGAAACGTGGAGAGATATTCCATGTAATTGTGTGATAGTTATTAGACCTTTTGCTACTAAAACAAGTGGATGCTGTTGACTCATGTATTTTGTTACGATATGGTATATCTCAAATTAGTACTATAAATTTAAAACCAATATGCTAAAACCATAGTCAATGATAATATCCGATCGAATACATCAAATTGAGTTTTGAACATGCAGAGAACTGTGATTAAACTGCTTATAATCAATTTCTTCTACTTTCATATTTTTCTAATTAATTTATGCTACAAGAAAATTTCGTATTGCAAGAAAAAATATTACTTGCTGTTAAGAAAATATCCTGAGTCTCAAATGAATGAATATCTATGTGTGCGAAGGAGGGGGTGTGAGTATGAGTAAGGGTGAGGATGTGGATGTTTGTGTGGCCAGTACGTGATGGATAAGTACTCACACCCACACCGCATGAATAAGTAAATAATACACTTATTTCTCTTTAGCGTAAAGAAAACATCCTTTTATTTTGTTCACAAAAAAGTTATAATTTCTTTTTTACAATTTCAATCCGCTCTTTCAGACTTTTCAGATTAGGATGATTTGGTGGTAGTGCATGATCCCATATGTCAAGAGCACGTTCAAAATATGAGAGTGCTTTCGAATGTTCTTTCATGTTAGAATACAGCACCCCGAAATTATTGTAGGAAGCACCCAACGAAGGACGATTTATAGGAAGAGTTTTTTCTTGGATTTCAGTTGATTTTTCGTAAAATGAGAGTGCTTTCAAATACTCTCCCATTTTATCATACACACTGCCAATGCTATTGTAGGATGTAGCTAACGAAGGATGATTTGAAGGAAAAGCTTTTTGTTTAATTTCAAGTGCTTTTTCGTGGAACGAAAGTGCTTTCGAGTATTCTCTCATATTACTATACACGGCACCAATGTTGTTGTAGGAACTAGCCAACAAATGATGATTTTCAGGAAGAGTTTTTTCTTGGATTTCAAGTGCTTTTTCATAAAACGAAAGTGCTTTTGAGCACTCTCTCATGCTGTCATACACATTACCGATGTTGTTGTATGAAGTAGCCAAGTCAGAATGATCTACAGGAAGAGTTTTTTCTTGGATTTCAAGTGCTCTTTCGAGAAATGAAAGTGCTTTCGAGTACTCTCCCATGTTAATATATACAGTACCAATGTTGTTGTAGCAAGTAGTCAACGAAGGATGATTTTCGGGAAGAGTTTTTTCCATGATTGCTCGGGTTTTATCGTAAAATAAAAGTGCTTTCGAGTACTCTCCTATGTACTTATACATACTACCCATGTTGTTGTAGGAGGTAGCCAACGAATGATGATTTTCGGGAAGAGTTTTTTCTTGGATTTCAAGTACTTTTTCGTAAAATGACAGTGCTTTCGGGTATTCTCCCATGTTCAAACACACAACACCCATGTTGTTGTAAAACGTAGCCAACGAAGGATGATTAGCAGGCAGAGTTTTTTGTTGAATTCTACATGTTTTTTCGAAAAATGGAAGTGCCTTCAAGTACTCTCCCATGTTCATATACACCAAACCAATGTTGTTGTTACAAGTAGCCAAGTCAGGATGATTTTCAGGAAGAATTTTTTCATCAACTACGAGTGCTTTTTCGAAAAATGAAAGTGCTTTTGAGTACTCTCTCCTGTCCATATATACACCAGCAATGTTGTTGTAGGAAATAGTCAGGTAAGAATGATTTTCAGGAAGAGTGTTTTCTTGGATTTCGAGTGCTTTTTCGTAATATTCAATAGCCTGTTCATAATCAGCTTGATGATATTTGACTGCTCCAAGATTGCTATAATAAAGTCCTTTATCACTTTCGTTCGATGTTTGTTCAAGTAGTACTTTGTAGAGTTCTTCAGCCTTATGGAAATGACCTGTTTGGAGTAATAGTTTACCTAATCGTTTCCATCCTGTTTCACCTCCAATCTCGTTACTTATCCATTTAGTTAGTTGCCGAAGTTGTTCATCGTCATCCATAGTCAGTCGAAGTTCCACTTGATAAAGTTGATCATTATTGTCTATTTGATTAATTGCGCCTACCCGAAATACAGTGTGCATGGAGAAAAGAATTTCTTCTTCCGTATTGTAATAACTAACCTCCTTAATGGACGCGAATGGTGTTGATGAGACTTGTGGATCAATGGTCATTATAAAGAGTATTCCTACCATATCTGTATTTCCTGAGGAACTCTCGGCGAACAAAAGGGACACATCTTTATCATTACTGGTGGATAAAAAGTTGTTAAAGGACATTAAACCACCTTCTGTGTTTTTAAGTTTGCCGAAATCGGTTTTTTGTAGACCTTGTCCTCGATAAACTATAAATGATTTACCACAATAACTAGGAAGCTGTTGTTGATATAGCTGATGAATTTGTTGGTGAAGATCACAAATGAAAAATCCCATATTAATAATTATATCGGCATCTAATGTTCTAAGTGCTCGATTAAGCATTTCGTAAGTGAAAGACTCACGTGTATACCACCAAATTGCCTTTTCTGGATGGTAATCGTGTTGAAATTCATCAACAATGGCTAATTTTGACACATTGTCATGATAAAATTTGTGGTAATACGTCGCTAAGATCTTGATGGCCTGCTTGCGGTCATGTTCCATTTCAAGAAGAATCTCCTTGAATACTTGCGTATACATATAATTTGGCTCCAATTGGTTCAGATCTCCACTGGACATCGCTTCGTTAACTTTGATAAAACTCACAGCAATTGAATCTTGATTCAATTGTTTAACACCCCATTTCAATGCATTACAAATATCCTTGATATTTGTGTGAACACCTTTGATTTTTCTCCAGTTCTTGGTCCATTGTTCATGATAAGATTTGTTGTCACAAAAGATGTAAATGCCATCTAATTTTGACATGTTGTGGATTTCAGGTACCAAATGTTGACCGAGTGATCCCGACGTGATGACAAACGCTTTTTCGTCGTTGAGTTTGTCGACAAACTTGATACATTCATGAGGTTGAGTGCACACGACCACATGGTCGACAACAGTCTGTAACTGTGCCAACGTGTTCTGGCAATCCTTGTTAATCTGATCGATGCTTTCATCTACCCAAACTAATAGATAATTGTGGACCATGCGCTGACGCGTTGTTGTTGTAATAGTAGTGTTAGAGACGCCTGAGCTAGACGGGGAGGCAAAATTTTGTTGTGATCTTGTTGCGGCCATACTAGTATGAATAGTAACTTAACAATTGGTGCGAATTTGCAACTGAGTGTTGTGATTTGAGTGACAACAGAGATTACAGTATCGGTTTATATAGGCGACGACTTGTTTTCTCTCGATTTTTTTGTAATGTACAATATTTGTATGATTTTGTCGACATGAGAAAATTCTATTTTGTTACTATTAAAAGCACTTGCGAGAAACAACAGAGAAAGAAAACAATAAAAAAAAACCTTGACAAAATTGAAACAAACAAAACATAAAAAACTCAATAAGATATTTTAATTCGCTATTTTTCTTTCTCTATCTTTGTGTCGTTCATCATCTTGTTATTTCATCAATGATGTTCACTATAATTGTATATTACTCATTCTACAGATACCGGACCAATCAATCAGAACAAAAATTAGATTCAGTACTCATGCAAGTAAGATCGAGAGACTCTTTTGTGTTACAAACTACAGTATTAATAATGACTTTGTGATTAAAATAAAGCAGTCTTAGATATATTCTACTAGTTTTGACTTTAACTGATAGAAAACGAAGAAGTCAAATAGATCATACACAAATCTAGCAGCAAAATACACATATATCAGTAAAATCGCGATTCTGATAAATATAATTAAATAAAAACAAACATTATCAATAGTATTCAGTTAAATGGTGTATTGTATATGAATGTCTTGATTAAAATATATTCAGAATGATTTGTTACATTATAACTTATTTTTTGTACAATGTATAGTCAATCACTACATCTCATCTCATATTAAGAATGGATTGTAGACGTGCTCTTTTTGCTTGTATGCATGCATTAGGGAGTGCCGAGCATCTGAAAAACAATTATTCAAGGCACATATTGTCTCTCTTCGCTTAAGTGTAAAATAAAAAGCCATTATTGAGAGTATGCATATGTCTTCTACAAATTCAAACTCATTCTGTAAAAAGAAAGTTTGTCCGCGACTTACGAGGGAACTTCACCAACTGATACCAAGCTTTTCAGTTCGGACCCC